CTTTCTTTCCATCTTTCTGTTTATATGCCTATCTTTGTCTTTTTATCTTCTTGAGTCTTTGCGCCCGTATCTTTTCATTTCTTTCTCTTTACTTGTATTTCTTGTTTTGTAGTTCTTTCGGTCTGTTTCTTTCTCTCTGTCTTCACGTTTTCCACGTACTCGACGTCATCAAGCACAGTTCTCGTTTGACGCTCTTACCTGCTGCACTCTGTACTGGTCCTTGGCCAATAACTGTGGCACATACCTACCTGTGAAATCTTGAACGACACAGCCTAAGCACCGATAGCTTAAACAGCTTCGCTGTTAGCACTGTCCCAGTCATACAAATGATAGAAGTTTTACGTCGCCTTAACTCTCTTGAGAAAGGACGCAGCGCAACGACAGACGCAGAAACTAGATGACAAGCAAAAGGACACATGTCATGGTGGGAGCCAGTTCCACATTTCCCACCTTCTAGAATGCGTTTTATTTTTCTTTCTGATGTCATGGTGTTTAATTGTTCCACCCCTAGCTTCTAGGCGGAAGTGAGATGTGCTGCGTCGCTCTCAAAAAGTGCTTTTTGTGCAAGCGCGTTTGTGTCCTGGCGTATCATTCTTGCGTGATCGCCATTTTTGTGCGTGTTGGCGTGTCTGTACTTTTTAGGGGCGAAGCTCCTTAGGGCGTGGGCTGTGCGTCCCCTGTATGTAGCCACCTCTAGTTTAGTTCTTGCAGTGTTCACTAGATGGCGGTACCGTCCCCTGTATGTAGCCACCTCTAGTTTAGTTCTTGCAGTGTTCACTAGATGGTGGTACTTGTAGCTGATGATGAAAAGATGCAAGATGTTATAAACTAGAAAGCGGTACTTGTAGTTGATGAAAGACGCGAGATCTTATAAAATAGGAATGATGTCACATATGGCGCGTGTCATTGGTTGAAGGCAATCGTTCGATTTAGTGCGGCGACGTACGCTAGAGGGAGCGATGTAATAAAATCGAGTGGGCAAAATGTACAGAGGATTCATGGTTTACCAGGTTTACCTCCGGAGCTTCGCCCACTCATCATCATTCACTTCGTGGATATGGCGGCACTTTTTTGTCAATTTTGACATCACGCCGAAAATATCACGTTATCATACACCTGATACGACCTCGTTCCGAAATTTTAGTACTGTATTTTAATAACAGATGGTGTCCCTTATAACATAGAGTGTGGGCTGTAACTTTCATATCACCGCCTGGAGCTGCCCAGAAGAAGAGGCTTGTCAACCTTTGATTCACTGTTTTCTGAACGCAGTCAACGGGAAGCCAAGGCTGGCCGAGAAGTTGTCGCTCGAAATAGAATAAGTGCCACGCGTCTTGAAGCGACTGCACTACTACTGATTATTGCGGCCTGCCAGCATTCCCCAGATTGGCTTTTGTGGTTCGCTTCCTCTGCATGTGAATTGCGTCCTTTGTCTCAGAAGCCACGCTGCCAACGAGGAAAATCAAATGGCATCAACGGGCTGGCGTTCATTTGCCAGCCGGTTTTCGACTCGAATGGATTCCAGCACGCTCACGGATATTTCTTTTAGGAAACACTTAGTCTAGGATATGAAGACTTCAGGAACGTACCAACCGCGGCCAATTATATGAGGCTTACGCTGGACACAGAACAGCTGCATCGCCTCATTTCGCTGCAGTGTCTTGATATCCCGGAAAACAATTCAATAAGAACATCGGCTGTTCAGTGCGCTGATTACGTAAGTAGCCAATTCCTCTTCAGAAGTTTTTTTTTTGTGTGTGTGTGTGTGGTATATAGGCGTGGTGCAGTAGTTGAGGTTAGCCTAGCGCAATATTGTTTCACCTTAGCTTATACGCAGGGACGTGTTCTTGTGTTGATAAGCTGCGACTTTAGATGGAAGCCTCGAAGTGTGTTTCACTGGTGAAGGAGAGCTCCATTTCTTTGGAGGCCTAGAGCGTGCTTTATATGCGAAACTCACCTAATATCAATGCAACGGCCAGTAGAAAAACGTTCTTTTCAATAGCTTTAGTGGTGTAATAATTAGCTCCTAGCTATGGCACTGCTAGAGAAACAATCATACATCAGCTGTTTGAATAAAATCTAATTTATTGCACGAAACTAAAAAATACTGAAAGAAAAAAAGATAAGGCCATGGCTAAACGGTAAAGCTTATTGATGCAAGCCGCTTCTATATCAAGATTGCGCACACTTGAGGTTAGTAAAGATTTCGGGTTACTAAAAAAAGATTAACCTAATACAATAGTTTGCCAATGCTTAGTCATTTATATTTTCTACCTTATCATTAAAACTTGTAGATGGTTCTGAAGCTAATGACAATCCTCCTATTGAAGTATTGAGGCATCAAACAAGATGTAATGTTACATGTCAGAGGCACTTCCTTACCTGTTACTGCTAACATCAAACTTACAATGAAGAGAGGATTAAGGAACATCATTCAGCAATACATCACTACTCTTCCATGTAAATGCCCATACTGCGTCGCTGATATGCTTACTAGCTCGCATTGAATTAAGATTCTTCTTATCGTATGTAACTGAATAACAGAAATGAACAATATTTATTCATAATCTATCGGTTCAAGCTAGTAGTTGGAACATGTGCATGACAGTAGTAAATTTCGCGCTTGGCCATGACATGTAAATGACTGAATTCACTACATTTAATACTCGAGAATGACAGCACTGTTCGTTCCTGCCACCTAAAAACGGGCAGTAAGAATTCGAAGTACCCTATTAGCGACATTCCACCATTCGTGTCGGCGTAAAAGTCCCATTTGTGGAGAGGCACATTTTTAATATTTAGCTTTAATTTGGTTCGGGAAAACTTTATTGTGAAAATCCGAAGGCGTGCGCCCTAGCATATGGCGGACTGCTCCCACGATGGGACAGTAAGGCCGAGACCTAGCACCACATCGTGGGCCCTCTGGACAGCCCAAAGTTATGATGTTATGTCCGGACTCCGGAGAGCGGAGTCCCACTTTCTGGACAATGCTGTATCGGTGCCGCGTACTGAAGGGCACTCCCAGAGCATGTGATGTAAGGTGGCTAAACCACCACATTTTGTACAGGAGTTGGTTAAATAAACCTCCGGGTAAAGCTTGTGGAGAAAGGCAGGGTTAGGGTACGTTTCTGTTCGAAGTAATCGCAATGTAAGCGCCTGTGCTATATTTATCTTCCTAGGTGGAGGCGAATTCTCCTAACCAAAGCATAATGTTGGGCAATTTCATTGTATATAGTTGGCGGATCCCTGTTTACGAAATCTCCAGTTCGACCTAAAGGCCCTCCATGGCCGCGAACAGCTTACTTTCGCTCCCTGGAGTGGGCCAACTCATTAAGATTGATAATCCCTCCGTCCATGTTTCCCACATAAGCCGGGAGTCATGTAAGGTTGTAAGCGACTTCTCACCGAGTATGTTTACCTTTAGAAAGTATTTTATTTCCTTCGGACTTAGCAGAGTAATTACATGTTTTCTTTAATTTTTTTGCGAGGCAGTTGCTGGCATCTTCAATCACGGAGGCATTAGCTGTTATATGGGTAAATCGTTCATTTAAGATAATTCCTAGCATTTGGAAATGAATGAGCCCGCGGCGATCTCCAAGGCGCTTCTCCAACATGCGAGGACCCATTGTGCAAAATCTAAAGACTAAGGCGCAATGTCTGCCAAATCTGTACGCAAGGACGTGGGGCGTGTCAGAACATCGCGTATCAGACGAGATTGGGAATACTTTGGCACAGTACGGTTCCCAGCCAAAATATTTCACACGGCCACAGCCTGCACATTTCCCAAAAGCTTGCAGTGCACCGTATTGTCACCCTGCTTCATGCGACCAAAAAAGAAGTAAAAAATAGAACTGTAAGCCGTGCGACCGAGTAAAGTAGCACGAGGAAAGAGTGAGCACAGCGCCCTGCGAATAGCTGACCGTGACTGGAGCGTGAGCTTCTTTCAGCACCCAGAAGCTGGCAGTCTTTACAGCATGCATTCAGACCCGGTGATTGAGAGTGGCGTGGCCACGAGAAAAAGAAAGGAATGCGAACCAGTTATTTTATGCTGCTTTCTTTCTTTCCTTGTCTTACGCTCTCTGGGATCGCGACGCTGTGGTTGGGACGCTTCCGAGACATGCGTTTCCCTCATTAAGTCACTTTCCTTGTGCATGCAAATGAAACGCCGTCCCCCGGGCTCCCACAGGAATTTTCATACAATGCGACGCAGAAGGCACCTCTCGCCACGCACTGCACGTGCACCGAAGATTCTGTAGCTTAAACCAAATGAATATCTCGCGGAAAAGTGCTATGCAAACCGGCGTAAAATAATGTTCAAAGATGTGCTATGTAAAAGACGTTTTGTAAGGAAGCAGTCAAGCCAGATGCCATTCGAGTTTAATGTAGTTATCGAGACCACTATGTGAAGCACTTGCGAGCCCTCAGATACTAAAAATGCTATGGCCCGTGAGACAAGCGTCCTACTTCCTACTCTATTTGCAAAGCAGCGACCAGCCTTGACTTGTGAGTCTAGGAAGAAGAAATGTCACAACATATATAGGGAAGCTAAGGATTCACCACATTTCTTATACAATATTGCCTCAAGTAGGAATATTATAATAATATTCCTGGCTGAGGCAATCAAACAATCTTTTCCATTTCCCTCCACCTAGTGGAGAGATGAAAGGCGAGTGTTATTATTCTGCTTGACTTCACTCCTTTCTCTAGTTTTTTATATCTCTCTCGCTTTTTTTCTTGCCCTGTTGCTACCACAATACAGGCAGATGAAAAGTACGGCGAATAAATACTAGCACTAAAGAGGTTAATGTAAACCACTAGGTAGCAGTAGCTGTCTATGCTGGTAGCTGAAGATTATACATATCGGCGGAAGTTGACGGGCACCGTCGATGGCTGGCGATGCATCATACGGAAAGCCCTAAGCTTAAGTCCCGACCGCGGAGAAGAATGCGTCAAGTTCACGTCGGCATCACGTCACTTCGAGGAAGCTATAAATGAAACCCAACATGAATGAGAAGGACCAAACACAGCTAGCAGCAACTGCAACAGGTTGTCTCCTGCCAGTCGCTAAAAAGGTTCTTCGTATGTTCAAGAGTACAGGCCTTAACGAACTGTAAATGATCAACAAGAACAGCAAGTCAATGACGCGACTCTACTGCTTCTTTATGGGACCACTCCTGAAGGAGCCCAACATCGATGGATGTGATGGCAAGCGCTAAGTAACACTAGCGACGTTCTGTCGTGGCTTGAAACTGAACGGTTCTTCCTATTTGCAGGTTGGTCGTGTGCATGATTATATTCGGCTCATGAATACCACTGATGCTGGTTTTTTTATGCTATTCTAATCGCGTTATACAACAAAGAGAGAAATATATAGAAAGGTAATTAATTGGAAGTAACAGAGTTTGCAGTGTGCTAAGCGACGCTGAAAGTAATGCATGCACGTTTTTCTTTTTTTTTTTTTGTCAGAAAAGTTGTTCGGGCTGCAAGGCCACGTCAGATATGGCGAGAATACAAGTTCGCTAACCACGCTGTAACTTGCTCGACATTGGCGATTTTTGTGAATCAAAATGAGATTAATGCCTAGTTGCAGGGGTTTCAAACACTGGTGCATGTTAATCGAGACAAACACGAGCTAGCCTCTATGTTTTGTTGCCTGAGGTGGATAGTTGGTTGAGTATCCACTCGTAGAAAAATGCCGAACGCGTTTATATACGGTTTTTAAGGAAGAGAAGAAAACACGGGACTTTGAGCTCCGCAGTGAATCTTGCTAATGATTGTATTTATTTAAAAAAAGAGAACATTCCTGAGCCGTTGAGTCATGCGTGATTTCAGTTATCAACTTCAAAGCATAACATTTAACTGAAAGGTATGCTGAACTGTATTATAATTAGTGTGTTTTTTGTGTTTTTAGAGCTCCATTGACTTCAATATCTGAACAATATTAATTCATATTATGTTAATATCTACAGTATCTTGATTTTATCGTCTCAGAACCACGATATTACCACGAGAGACGCCGTAGTTGAGAGCTCCGGGAATTTCGACCATCTCGTGTTCTTTAACGTGCACCGAAATTGCACAGTACACAGACCCCTATCACTTCGCCTCCACCGAAATGTGGCCAGGATTGAATCCGCCACGTTCGGGTCAGCAAATATATATACGAGCACCTTAGCCACATATCCACTGTGGAGGGCGAATTGAATATTTTACTTGAAGCTAATCACAGATAGTAAAATATCTTTCATTGCTACTACTCAAAACTCAGTAGTGCCTTGAGTGTTTAGGCACTTTCTTGAAATACAACGTATCGCTCAGGTGTTCTTTGATCAATGAAAAGGTTTGATTTTCACGAAACTTGCGCCACAGTGCTTGCCAAAACTTTTGAGTTTCGACTGCAGCGATCAATTGTCAGTTTGTGATAGTGCGTTGTGACGAAGTCGTCCAAGACGTACGACCGGCTCCTCACATCCTCTTCTGAAACAAGGGTTCACTACATACTTGTTCAACGATTTCTTGTCATTGCAAGCCCCCCCTCCCCCATTCCCCCAATCTTCTCTCTTTATTGTAGTGCTAGAGATCAATGAACGAAGAAATTCGTTGTCGAAATTGTTGAAGGAGGAGGCAGAAAGGTTGCTTCATTCAGCAGGTCTGATAGAAAAGACTTCATTAAGGCAACGGCAGAATAGTGCGAGCACTTTTTACAGATGCTCAACTCGGGAAAAGACGGCAGACCAGACAAATTCACTTCCTAATTCATTCATGCTTCTTTCAAGAATGGCGTTTCTTTTTCGGGAATACTTGCTTTTATTTTATCTGCCTTTTTGAGAAGACACGCACTTTATGGCATTTGTGAATTAACAGTAAAATTATAAATGCGTGCCCTAATTTCCTTCTAACTTATCCGATAAATATCTCATGGTAATATGTTAAATGCGAGGTGAGTGTAAATGAAGACTGATGCAACACTTTTGCTACGAATCAGTCGCTGCCGAAAGAAGATGCAGTCATAGCAGTGCTGTAAAGCTTAAGTTACATTAGCGAATATATAGGCCGTATTTTGCACTGTTGCATGCAACTTTGAAGCCCGAAGTATTCAAGTGTCCCCTAAAATATTCACGGCCTGTCTTTTCAGGAAGCTCAGTCACCACAGGAAGAAATGACACTCATCTTTGACCTGTCGTTCCTCCTCCAGAAGCTGGATGCCATCTCGGATCCCAGAACAAGGGATTATCCTGTCGTACTCAATCCTTTCTTCGTTTTTCCTATGGTGGCGGCTTACCTCTATTTCGTCAAGGTCGCCGGTCCGCGGTGGATGCAGAAGAGAGAACCGTTTAACATCATAAACGTGATACGCATCTACAACGTCTCCATGGTAGTCGTGAACAGTATTTCCCTCGTGATGCTCCTCATCCCGACGTATCTTCCAGGAGGTTCGTACAGCCTGTGGTGCCAAGGAGTCGAGGGAATCTCCTCGAAAGAGCACCTCAAGTACTACAAGTACGCCTGGATATTCATCGCGTGGCGCTACGCGGACCTGCTCGACACCGTTTTCTTCATTCTTCGCAAGAAGTTCAACCAAGTGACTCACCTGCACGTCATCCACCACACCATCGTCGTGGTGAACATTTGGTTCTACGGTCGCTTTGCGCCCGCAGGTCAACCGGCGTTGGGCATAGCGCTTAACACCTTCGTGCACATAGTGATGTACACCTACTACTTCCTCGCCAGCTTCGGCCCTCGAATGCGCAAGTATCTCTGGTGGAAGCGGCCACCTCACGACGCTTCAGATAGTCCAGTTCATCATCATCATCGTACACATGTCCGTGCCCCTGTTCGTCGAGTGCGGATTTCCCAGGCCCGCTGTGTACGTCGCCAACACCCAGACATTCCTTATACTGTGTCTCTTTGTGAACTTCTATGTGCGGTCGTACACTTGCCACAACAAGCTGGTAACGGAAGGCACGAAGCAAGTTAGCCAGGAGAACGGAAGAGCGTCGACAGAGGACGCGAAGAAACGGTGAAAAAAAAACAGTAAACTGTGGAATGCCAGAGCTCATTCTTTTCGGAAGACAGACAAGTTTCAGGAAACTGTGGGGCTTTTTTTTTTCAGTAATATTTTCAGAGTTTGTTTAGGCTGCCACGGAAGGCTCTCTATGCTATGAATGAATCCTAATCAAATCAAGGAATAAAGAAACTAATATTACGCAGTTTCTTCCAATTGAGGTCAATTCTAAGAACAAAAACGCTGGTTTATGTTACGACGAAACGGGCATATGTTACGACGAAACACACTGTAGACACGCCGTGCACACGCTTCCATTAAGAAACGTTGAGCCATTTGGCTTTAGTCGCTTGAACTTCGCTTATCCTTGTGTGGCTAACAAAGGTGCGGTCATGTAACTGCTCATGCTAACTAAGGTAAATAATTTCTCTTCGCCCAGTTCATACCATTTTTAAGTCTGACTGACGTTGCGCTAACGGAAAGTGCTTTGCATATACTGGACAAGCTAAAAAAAAAAACTTTAATAACTGACGTCACGCGAACCGACGTGCAACTACTGTGTTTGGGGACTTCACGGCCGCTATGTTTACCAAGTGTTTCATCTCATTAGAAATACTGCTGGAGTCAAGAAGTAATAAGCATGCAAGGTGGGGAGTTAGGACTAAGGATGCTAACAATGTCAACGTGTTATCGGACAAACAAAGCGCACTTGCAGCGGTAAAAATGACTAGTGATGTCGCAAGAGCAAGGCGCGCGATTGCTCTCACGTGCAGAGAATGTAAATGAGCGACAAACGAGCGTTGACCGTTGTTGCCGGTGTCATCACGACGTCAAAGACCCCAAAAGCGGCTCACCCAGCGCATCGGTTTCTTTCTTGTGTTTCCCATTTTAAGTAAGCTTATAGGTGAAAGTACTAGTAGGGGATTTCCCGCCTAATAGAGCGAAAACAATCAGTCATTACAAAAAAAAAAGCCCAGAGATAACGCTATGCGGTGCTACGAAAAAATACGGTTATTGAACTTTCGTTCAGTTACGCCACTGACAAGTGGGTTACCCCTTTTATCACATCATATATAGAGGAAAACTGATAAGCGTAGCGCAAGCTAGATTTTCAATGAACTATAGCAGCATCAGATAACGTACAGTCGCCCAGATCTTTAATTATTGTGGGCGAGCGGCGTTTTTTTTTTTCTCTATGTCTTCACCACATGGCCAAATTAGGCTGAAAAAAAGTTGAGGGCAAGTGCAAGTGCACATGCACATAAAACAGCTTCTTGCAAACTCGTTTCATGAGATGCCGCTAGCACACAGAAAGTCACCGCTACGAATGATGGCTAAAGATTTGGGCTACTGTACTTCTAATTTGACAACGCATAGTTCAAGAACGAGATTCTCTAGACGATATAAGGTGTAGTCGTCTGATTCTACTTGCCTAAATGGTATGAGGTGAAACATGAAGTTCATTATTTAAAAGAAAAGCAATTTGCTCGTAGGCTATAGACATATCGCGGTGCCCTTTGTGGCTTAGCAATAGGACTACAGCCTATAGCCAGATCGTACAAATAAGTGACTGCAATGTGTTCACTTACGCGAAAGCAGACGTTTTATACCACTGCAGGACTGCATAGATCTGTCATTTAAAAAGATCCAAGCAGTAGAGACAAGAAAACATGTCGGTAAGCAAGTGCAGAGTGTCATAAATCTATACAATGATTTCAAATCATCGAAAGAATCGCTAAAATGTAGTTTTTTAAAAAAAAACATAACGACCACGATTACGGCAAAGTGATCAGCGCTGTCGCAGGCTTCAAATTGTACTTGGAAAAGTGAATAGCAGGTCGTTAACATTACTTTTTTTATGAAAGCAGAAAAAAAGGAGGTACCGCTGTCACACTCTTCGAATGGAATGGGAGAAAGCCAGTGCGGTGGCGTTGCAGCTCTGGCACTGAGCTGCAACGCCACCGCACTGTTCTGAGCTGCAACGCCACCGCACTGTTCAGGGGAAACTGTTCATTTAATGCGAGGAAAAACACAGAGGTCAGCAGACATTTGTCTCCGGCTGAGAAAGAAAAGCGTGTTATTGTTTGTCTCCTGTTACGGAGCGTCGGGGAAATGAGGACAAGAAACCAAATACCGGAAATAAAACAGAAACGACGAAGTTGATTGCGCACGGTAAAGTATGTTTAAGTGCGATATGAATAGAACTAATTCAGTACACCTTAACCATCTTAAGAACTCACCGGTATTCGGGTGAGCTAACAAGTTGTACGCTTTTACTAACTAGTGCTCACTATTCATATGTGACCTTGTATCGTACAGTTAGGGTGTGACTTGTTTGGTCTGGTAGCGTTCGCCGCCGATATAGGGCACCACGATATCGCTTACGGAATGAAGGCGTAAGCCATAGCGGAAGAGCGAGGCCCATTGCGAGAAGGAGGAAGAACACCACCGAGTAAAGAAACGCGGCGGCGGGAAAAGAACATTAAAGGCAACATCCGCCTCCGCAGGTAAAAATAAGCTCCGGCGTTACAGTTGGCCGAACCAGCGTTGCGGACTCCAGGAACTGGAGCGGTGGCTGCGCGCTGCTTTCTCCTCCACGGCCGCAGGGGGGGTGAGGTCGATGTACCGAGTCCTTCCGTTAGGCGAGTGGGCGAAAGTCGAAGGCTCGCTCCCAGTGAGACGATCAGATGCCTTTGTGCACTCGCGGGCGCAGCTGGACAGAGCACACTGTCACTACGCTAACGAAGGAGAAATGGAGGCCATCAAGTCCACCCCCGGTCACAGGTGAGAGCACGCTAGCACAAATGGGTGAGGATCGATTGTGGTACATCGTGCAGAACATGCGCAAGAGAGGTAGCATCCGAATCGAACGTACAAGGTATAGCCGTGTATGAATTGGTTCAGCGCCGAAAAGCTCTTGATCGGTAAAGTAGCGAAGTTTTCGTCCAGGAGCGTTTCTCAATTATTTGGCAGTGTCCCGTGCTTAACACAACAGCTCCCCAGAGCTTGCTACCCGCGGCAAAGTTACGTATCTGCACGGTTTGTAACCATATTTGGAACATTTCTTTACTGTTATGATTTTCTGATATGCGTCAAGTGTGTCACCACGTTGGCTGCTGACATTCACGGAGGCTCCGTAACAATCAGAGAGAGACTAATTTGGATATATAGACGTGAGTGGTTACAGTCTGAAAAACAACAAAATCAGGTTATGCAATCTCTACGGAAGACTTTGTAAGGCCTTGAAAAAATGATGTCATGCTTGGTAGTTAAGAACGACACGATAACGATGACTACGATTGTCGAACTAATTCTGGTTAGCGGACCAAGTATATTTCGGCTACTTTACGTGAAGCTTTATACATTTTAACACGTTTTCTGGCGCTCGCACAACTTCCTGCAGGACTTCATACATGACGCATACATGACGCGTACATGACTTCATATATTCTAACACTATCGCTAACGCTCGCGTTAGGTTTGAAAATGTACACCGCCTTTGCCAAGATGGATATTCTCAGAGAACAAGCTACTCGATTTTTATAGAAATGGTGTGAATATACTCACGACAGATTAGATAAAAATAGGCGCATCTTGTGTTGAGCGATACTGTAAAGGCGATTAGCTGGCCAACAATGTTAAACTGTATTCATGTCTACACGTAGGATTTATGTGCTTCCTTGGAGCAAACAAGTGTTCAAACTGCGTTGCTGGAACATACTCTGCAATAGGCAGTGAACTTTATGTACAAATGAAGATTAACAATTAAAGACCTTGACTCACTGAAACCTTATAAGCTAATTCACTTACATTGATTTTACCCTTAGGTCAAGGGGAACCTGACTATAGAGAATGGCGGACGCGAAATGAGGAGTGCTGCAACAAGTGCTATAAATGAACAACTTTCTTGAGTATACATCATTTTAAAATACCGTAAAAATGAAAACTTACTACGATGCATTCTTTTTGCAAATCATAATTAGTTATTGGGGAATGTGTCCTAATGTAAGCGAAGCACTAGTAGTAGTGTCATTTTAGCAGTGCTAGGCCTATCAGCGGCAGCATTGATTGTTCTCATGCGTAGAAACATGATGCATGGCCTCGAACTTCACGCTCGGATAGCCGTCAAACAAGCAAACAATTCGTGCCCATGATAAATATTTTCACCTGCTGTGCAGCTATAGATATATTCTATTTAGGACTTTGTAAGTTTAAAGGAATCGCTAATCACTATTTATGTGCACCTGCTTTCTTTAATGAATCTGAAACTATACTGGTTGAAGGCTGATCACAGAATAGTGCCACGGAAAACGCCGTGGATTATTGACGATCAAATCTTCAAAGCTTTTTGACCTACGGCGACTGTATGAAGTTTTAGACACAACGCATGCTGCGAACAGTAGAAGGTGAGCACGACAGAGGCTCGTGTTTGCGTGTTTCGGCTTGCCGTGGAAGCGAGGACTTTGCCAAGATGTGCTGCGGTTCTATGAACCATTTTACGAAAGACATATGAGCACCGACCCCTTAGAGTGTTAAGAGGGTATGGTAGGGTACGGTAGGACCAACCAAAAAAAGCATTTTTTTTTATTTCATTGCAAAAGAATAACACACATTTTGATTTTATTTGATTCATATGTGGGGTTTAACGTCCCAAAACAGTCATACGATTATGAGAGACGCCGTAGTGGAGGGCTTCGGAAATTTCGACCACCTGGGGTTCTTTATCGTTCACCCAAATCTGTACACATGGGCCTACAGCATTTTCGCCTCCATCGAAAATGCAACCGCCGCTGCCGGGATTCAATTCCGCGACCTATGGGTCAGCTGCGGAGTACCTCAGCCACTATAACATTATGGCGGAGCATCAATACGCAGCTTGAAAGGCAAGGTCATGCATTGACGAGCGCTTGCGAGCGCTCTAAGCTCTTCAAAAATGGCGCTAAAAACTGCCCTGTCTAACGAATGCACATCCTTTTTTTCATCATTGTTTTTGCGTGTGCGAATATGTTTTGTGGTAACTATGGCTGTATCGGTTGAACACATTCCCTTCCAACCATTTTCTACTTTTTGATTGCAAATGTTCACCCCGAAAATGCTTTGCAGCCTAAATATTGTCGGTGCACTGTAAACACGTACCACGCGTGTGAACCTGCGACCTTATCCGAAGGTTTCAGGTTCGATGCCCGCAGCCGGCAAATTGTCTTTCTGTTCAATTGGCTTTGTTTATATGTATATCATGATTACTGCGGTACACTTGAAACAGTACAGTTAGCGTTCCTTTCATCTTCCTTGAGTTCATTATGGGCTCGTTTTCATTGAGGTCTTGTCAAAAGAAAAACCCGAGCCCTCAAAGATCATTTCCTTCGTTTTTGTACGCGTTACAACTTGACGTGCCGCTGGTTCAGTCAGAGGCGTCGCGTTTGCAACCGAAGCTTGTATGAACTGAATTGATGTCAACGATGGCACTTTTAATACGCGATGACGTAGCTTCCTAAACAAGTTCTTTTCACTTGTTCTTTCATATTGTGACTACCATGCAAACAAAGCAAATAATCTGGAGCGCTTAAAAACTTGCATGGGATAGACTAGCTCGAGCGCCAGAAAGGCCCTGCAAATGGCGTCCTGTGCCGTAATTGAGAAATGACGACCTCGCCGTTCTTCAGTTTGAACTTTCTATCCCTGGGTCTTTACATTCCACAATTATCTGTTGCCTCGAGGGATGTCTAATGGTACTACAAAATAAATCCAACGCATTCTGAATGTGACTTGAACAAAGGCATACGAATGCGTTCTATACCAAAGGTGCAAAACCTATTGAAAAGCAGCGCACTTGCTAGGCAATAATGATGTTCCGAAAAATCCTCCACACTCATGAAAGCCCTCCTCACTCACAGGGGGGCGAGCACTAAAGAAATGAAAAGTAAAGCGAATAAATCTTTTGTTGCAGCTGCGATTTTAACCGGGACCAGGGAGCCCCCCCCCCCCCCCTCTTCCAAAGCACGTGCCTGTAACTTGCGGTCACGCACCCTTTTGTGCAAAATATATTTATAGCACGCAGCAACATTTTTCGTCTTTATTTCCCGACATTGGGCGCACTTTCACACCACAGCACTTTCGGAATGCGGCTTAGAATAAAAAAAAAACTCACTTTAACAAGAGCATCCAGAAACATAACATCGTCATATTTTAATTTCAAAACACTTCGCGTAGTCTACACACCAACCCGGTAAAGTAAGAGCTCACTGTCTCGAATTTATTGCCAAATATTTTATAACCACGAAGTTCCTCTAGATATTGCAAAGGGCGATGAGAAAAGTTATGTCATAAAGCATAGCACCTTGGCCTGTAACAATGTAACTAATACTACCTCGAGTGAGTGGCAAATCTTTGTTAAGTGTTATTCGCATAACATCTCAAAAGAAAACCGGACCCCAACAGTCCACACGTGTTATTTAGATTCAGGCTTCCTAAATGTTGCCCAATCAGCAGCCCATGGTAGGTGCGACCCCTTTTTCATCTAGCAAAGTTTTAATATTCAAAGTACTAGCACGCAGTTAAAAAAGTGTTTTACCCTACTACCACCAACATATGTCTCACACGTTTTAAACATATTTGCCGGTACCTTCGCTGTACAATTATCGGTAGAAACGTTCTGAGAACGTGATTTCTGTCAAATCCGAATTTAAACCCTTACGTGTTACAACACCCAAATATTCAATAGAAAAGCGACAATTGAAATTTTAAATGCCACAACCATTTGACGGAAAAATCGAGTTGTTGCGAAACACCAATTTTCTCTTAATGAGACAACAATGTTAGGCAAGCCAAGGCTTAATTAGATTAAAATAGTCGTTTTTAAGAATGCAAATGAGTACTGCGGAATCTCGCAAGAAGGCGGAAGGGCTATGAAAGTGTTAAGGAAGCTTCATGGCTCGCTCAATCGGTACACGACCACACAGGAAAGGCGTTGGTCCCGGGTTCATGCCCAGGTAAGGACATATTTTTCGGCAGCTAAGAAGCGTTTCCTTCCGAAAAAATCGCATTATTTGCCTTGTGGGTTCATGCTACAAACGAGTGATTGTCTCTGCCCTCCCCCCTTGTTTTTGTTTCTTCTCAAGAAGAGATTTATTGTGTCACGCAAGAACAAAAATATAGAGACCAGATGCTTAAGTAATGGATTGGGCACTTTTGATGCACCCTGATTTAGCTTGCTGAACAAGTTATTTGTAATTGTTCTTTCATATTGTGAATACCATGCAAACACAGCAAATAATCTACGAAGTCTCTTAAAGTGCAGTCTCGAGCACCTCAGGACGTGCGTGAGATAGACCAGCTTGCCCGCCAGAAAGGTCCTGCAAATGACGTCACGTGCGATAATCAGGAGGTGATGACCTCACAATTTTTCGGTTTGAACCTTTAATTATTAAGTCTTTACATTCTACAATTATCTGTTGTCTCGAGGATGGCTACTGGTACTGCAAAATGAATCCCATGCATTTTGAATGTGAACTCAAGAGACTCATATGAATGCGTTCTAGCGAAGATTCAAAAACCGATTGGGAAGCAGCGCATTTGCTAGAGGCGTTTCGTGGACTAAAAGCAATCTGCTGGCCAACACTCAAAGTCAGTATAGATAGTTGCACATGTCTTGACAAATCCCGACATCGAGAAAATCGAACTTCCATCCCATGCTTCCATGATCGCGAGACGATGATAATTTTTACAGAGAAATATACTTTCAATTAGAGCAAAATTGATTACATTGATTACAGAGGTATTCAAAC